TCTCAGGATTCCATCAATCCCTAACCCTTACCTATAATATTCACTGGTCAGAATTAAACATTTAATAAAGTAATTAAATAAATGGAACACTGATATCCTGCATGAGCTATAAAAATAGCTACAACTATTAGCACTTGCAAGTGCCTTGCTCACAAAAATAATAACTATAATCCTTAATAGATTCGTAAGAGTGCTATATATTTTAAAATACCTGTATGTTTAATATGATTGCAAACCAGCTGATCAGTTTATTTTCAATGTAATGATCTAAACACATATTTTTCTCTTGAATGACACCATCCATATCACTTCCAGATTGTGGGGAAGCTTGAAAATCCTTGCTTACAGACTATATTTTGAAGTTTAAGGTCTTCAAAATAATCAGCAATCCAGAACTCCGGTTTTAATATCAAAACGAAAAAAAATTATTTCGCTATATATTCATTTTTCAATAATGAAAGGGGGCTTTTTAATTCAGGAGCAAGTTCTCATGGGTTATCAAACAATTTCCAAAAGAGCAGAATGTCTACGCTTATTGAAAAATCCCCCAAAAATACTGAACATCACTCTGTGTTCAAAGGAACTCTACCATTAAAATCAATAAAAACTAAAGTTGTTTGTAGCTTAGAGATCCCAAAACCACAAGGCTGACAAGTTGTATAACTAGAACACATGGCTCACTTGGAGTATTGTACACAGTACTGGAGACTGTATCTTCAGAAGGATATTGATACCTTAGAGAGGGTTCAGAGAAGGGCTACTAAACTGGTTCATGGATTGCGGGATAAAACTTACCAGGAAAGGTTAAAGGATCTTAACATGTATAGCTTGGAGGAAAGACGAGACAGGGGGGATATGATAGAAACATTTAAATATATAAAGGGAATCAACACAGTAAAGGAGGAGACTATATTTAAAAGAAGAAAAACTACCACAACAAGAGGACATAGTCTTAAATTAGAGGGACAAAGGTTTAAAAATAATATCAGGAAGTATTACTTTACTGAGAGGGTAGTGGATGCATGGAATAGCCTTCCAGCTGAAGTGGTAGAGGTTAACACAGTAAAGGAGTTTAAGCATGCGTGGGATAGGCATAAGGCTATCCTAACTATAAGATAAGGCTAGGGACTAATGAAAGTATTTAGAAAATTGGGCAGACTAGATGGGCCGAATGGTTCTTATCTGCCGTCACATTCTATGTTTCTATGTTATATCCCAGTCAGATGACTGCAAATGAAAATAACACATCCAAATAAGAATATTTAGAAAGGAAACACATTGGACATACATACCTCTGGCATAATAGGCCCAGGCTTTTTATTTTTGTCATCAGGAACTTTTGACTTCAGAACAACCTTCTCTATCTCCAGAATTCCAATTGGCGTGTTTGGTTTAAATTTTACTAGACTTTTATCGGCAGAAATTAGATCGATTGTGTAAGTTGATGGGTTTAGATGATACTGTGCACATAGAAATATCAGTAGATCCATCATTGGTTTGCTGTATAGAGAAAAAGGACATAAAATAGTTCTATAAAACCATAAAAGTCGATTAAAACACTGTAAGCTTAAAAGATTATATGAATGCATGCAAATATAAAGGCTTGCACATTAAATTATACTGTCTGTCCCTGTCCTCTGCTGCAATACAATTTAAAACGTGTTAAATGCAAGTTAATGTATCACTCATTTGGAGCTCTGAGCTCTGAATTTCAAATTTAAGACCAGAGTAGCTAAACTGACAGCATTGCTGACTTAGAGTTTTAAAGTTTGTCTAGTTTGGCTGTTTCGATCTTAAATTTGAATCTTTTGAATTTGAAAGTTTAGGCGAAATAGCCAAACTCAAAACATAACTGAGTTGAAGAAGTTTTGACAAGTCTGCTTCGTTTGGGGTACATTTGAAATTCTTGAATTTCTGACAATACCCAGTTTGTGTTATTTCATTATTTATCACACCTCTTCTAAATTGAAAAAATGCAGTACACATGCTATGACACCTTAGTTCAGAACTGAGGTCAAAAGGCATAAATTTACTTAAAGGGACACTATAGGCACCCAGACCACTTCAGCTAATTGAAGTGTTCTGGGTGCAGTGTCCCTTTTGCACTTAGTGCGGCAATATAAAACATTGCAGTTGCAGAGAAACTGCAATATTTACATTGCAGCACTAAGTCCCAGACAGCTACTATAGGCACTTCCTGTATCCAATGATGAAAACATCACGCGTCAGATATTTCCCCATAGGAAAGCATTGATTAATGCTTTCCTATGGGGGCGTTTAATGCATGCGTAGCATTAGCGCCCGCTCGTCGCAGGACGGAGGAGGAGGTAAAGCTTTGTATTCCTGGCATTTATAGTATCCCTTTAACTACTGTAACCGGACTACTCCTTCCCATTTACTCTCAGTTGGAGTAGGTATTTTATTGCCGAGGTAGGCAGCAAGCAAGATGTGTAACTGGTTTGTTGGGGTAATGTGTGGGGAAGTTTTATTCCAGGTGAAAACCGATTAAGTCGAGGCAACTGATTTAACAATAGATGGAGAATTTAGAAGACAGAAATTGCAGTCACTTATATGTTCCATATACTTTAGTAAAGCGGTTAAATTGGAGTAGAAGGCTTGATATCACCTTGGCCCATTAATTCTGGTAAATACATTTGGGTCAGGGAATTGGACATCCTAGAACTCAGAATAAACACCATTTTTCCATCTCAGGGTTTGGAAAGATTTTAGAGCTCATGAGACATCCTTACATCCCATGGTATATTTTTACTTTATGACCATTTTCCATGAAACAGAGAAGAGCAGTGCTTCAAAAGTCTTTGTGCCATATATCTTTGATGATCTAGGGGTTCTTATAGCACATAATATAGTAAAACCTCTTTACTGAATGCACAATTTTTTTTAATTTTATTTTGTTTACAGATGTCAGATAAAAGTCACACACATATAAAACTTGCTTCATCCGATAAAAGGGTTACATAATATTCATTGATTTCTAAGTTTCTAGGGATTTATATGCAGGCAAAATATATTTTTAGCTATCAACGACATTTGCCAATGGTTGTGAATAAAGATCTGAAGTTGGTATTTAAACACGTGGCAGCGTTGACTGTGTGGGATCCAAGACTTGAAAGAATGTTCTTCACCCAAGAAAAATGGAAAAAGGCATGCCTTGGAAAGCAGTGTTTGTAATCCTTTTTTAAATTTATTTACAGTCACACGTTAAAAGCATACTCTCACGAAATCACTTATATACACACACAGAGCAAATGAGCGGAAAATCTTTATTTATGCTTCCTCTCTTGATCGGACTGGATGCTGCCCAACTCTCATTACCCACCATTGTAGAGATGCCAAGAACATGATTATATGGTGTACGATATAAACACAAAACACACACAAATAAAAAATATCTCAACAACGGTTTTCTCTGGAATAGACCATCAACAACATTGTTAACTTCTAATAACGGTTTGTGGGATTAATTCACTAAACAGTGTTATGTGGTAAACGGACACCAAAACTGTAAGATCTAGGACAAAATTGTAGATTTGTAGAATTTTTCCAACTCAATTTATATTGGCCTCTATCTTCCAATGTCTTATCACCATTCCCTGCTAAATTAATAAACTTCATAGGATCTCACTTTTTAGAGAAGTTAAATGTGTTTACGATCTGGAGGGTTTTTTTGAGGTTTGTTTGTTTATTTGTTTATTTAAATAACACACACCTGCCATTAACTGTGGTTGAAGTTGTCCTTTCTCCAGGAAGGACCACGGTTAGTTCAATTTCTCGATCGATGATGTTCTCTTTCTGCTCCATGTTATAACTTGTATCTGCTGAATCAAACGATGGCAAGCTTTCAGCGTACCTCACTTCTCCTGGAGGAAGAGGAGCCTTGCTTTTGGCTTTTTTCCTGGAAATTTAAGAACAAACACGCTGGTTTAGTTATAGTCACTAGACTTCCTGCTGGCAACTCTTTTAAAAAAGAAAAAAAAATCATAAAAGATGTACTGTACATGCAAACAGAGAGCTGTGTGTTGTGCACAATTTTCTCCTTTTCCATCAATAATGCCTGTAAGCATTTTTCTGGTGAACAGTTCAGCAGTGAGACAGTTAAAGATGAGTTGTCACGTTGAAGAAAAAGGCACATTCTAAACAGCAATCCTTAAAGTTAGCTGATTATATTTAAACAACAAATTTTCTTTCCATTTCTACAAACTCAAAGCTATCCTCGCACAATCTTGCATCTAATGCAGATTTTAAATGTAAAAATAAATCCCTATGCAAAGCAATGGGCTCCTTGTGGCATCAATTACCCAAAAGAGCAGCAGAGGGACGTTTGATCTGATTTTTCTCTGTAGACTTACATGGACACTGTAGGCACCATAACTACATCATTTCATTGTAGTGGTTATAGTATTTGAAGTCTCCTTGCACTGTCCTTCCATTCAGTATTAAATAGTTTTTAATGTTTTAATGCTAAACATGCATGCCCTGCAACCAGTCCTCTATGAGTTGCTTAGGCGAGAAAACATTACCCAGAGCAGCGATTGTTGGCTGTGATTGGCTGAGAATGTCTGCTAACTGCATTCATATGATCAGAGTGCCCACTCAGATATGAATCAGTATAGCTATCAGGAAGTGTGTAACCTCTGCCTTAGCCAGATTTCCAGTGGGGGCGGGACTGTGGGAAAACTTTATTCAGTGTTAATAAACTGGTTGAAAATGTTTAAATACTGAATGAAGGGACATCTACTCACCAGAGCTAAGCTTGACCAGTAGTGAGTGGAAATTTTGAGTCCCAACTATGAAATCAAATATACAGTATCGCACAAAAGTGAGTACACCCCTCACATTTTTGTAAATATTTTATTATATCTTTTCATGTGACAACACTGAAGAAATCACTCTGCTACAATGTAAAGTAGTAAGTGTACAGCCTGTATTACAGTGTAAATCTGCTGTCCCCACAAAATAACTCAACACACAGTCATTAATATCTAAACCATTGGCAACAAAAGTGAGCACACCTCTAAGTGGAAAAGTCCAAATTGGGTCTAAAGTGTCAATATTTTGTGTGGTCACCATTTCCTAAGTGGACATTTCCACTAAGAAGTGTACTCACTTTTGTTTCCAACGGTTTAGGCATTAACCCCTTAAGGACACATGACATGTGTGACATGTGTTGATTCCCTTTTATTCCAGAAGCTTAGTCCTTAAGGGGTTAAAGGACCACTATAGTGCCAGGAAAACAAACTCTTTTTCCTGGCACTATAGTGTCCTAAGGGTGCCCCCACCCTCAGGGTTCCACTCCCGCCGGGCTGAAGGGGGAGGAAGGGTGTTAAACACTCACCTTTCTCCAGCGCAGGGCTCCCTCTGCGCTGGGGGCTCTCCTCCTCCTTCGATCGTCATCGGCTGAATGTGCATGCTTGGCAAGAGCCGTGCGTGCATTCAGCCAGTCCATAGGAAAGCATTCTTAATGCTTTCCTATGGACGCTGGCATCTTCTCATTGTGAAAATCACAGTGAGAAGCGCGGAAGCTCCTCTAGCGGCTGTCAAGAGACAGCCACTGCAGGCTGGATTAACCCATATGTAAACATAGCAGTATTCTCTGAAACTGCTATGTTTACATCAGGCAGGGTTAACCCTAGATGAACCTGGCACACAGACCACTTCATTGAGCTGAAGTGGTCTGGGTGCCTATAGTGGTACTTTAATAGCTGTGCGTTGAGTTATTTTGAGGGGACAGCAAATGTATACAGTTATACAGACTGTACACTTACTACTTTACATTGTAGCAGAGTGTCATTTTTCAGCATTGTCACATGAAAAGATATAAAATATTTACAAAAATGTGAGGGGTGTACTCACTTTTGTGAGATACTGTATATTTTAGACAACATGGCTCGTGTGGTTGTACACTACGAAGTGCAAGGTTACCAATCTTTGATGTAATGAAAAAAAGTACTTGTGTAAACCAGCACACTTACTTGTTGCCACGACACCCTTATTGCACTGCAGCATAACCCTATATAAAATCCAATGTATATAAACTTACAGAACTATAATATTCAATTATAGCATTTTTCAACTGTAGGGTGATAGCTGCTTGATCCAAGGATTAATCTGACTGTTATTCTGGGGTCAAGATGGAATTGTTTTTCCTATTTTGTTGCAAAATTCGAAGTGCTTCAAACTATTTTTTTTTTTTAATTTACTTCTTTTGGATCAACAGAAAAAACCACATGTGAGGAAGGCTGAACTTGATGTACACAGGTCTCTATGTAAAACCCAGCACATGTATGCAAGGGACCTATTTAATAATAAAAAAAAAAAAATACTAGTTTAAACTTATAAGTGCGCATGTTTTCAGGGTTGAAATCATGTACCAGTTGATATTCACAATTTATAGTCAAAGACCACTAACTTAAATATGCATGGGTGATGCAGTCTACACCTTGTACTGCATGTATTAAATTGTAATTTCTTTGTTATGCTAGTAAAATCACCAGCGTATATATAAAGGCAGGTTCTAGTTCTCTTTCGTATCCTTGTTCCCAAGAGGCCATGTAGCAAAGCCTATTTGGAAAGAAGAAACTGTAGACACTGAGCACTGCCAAGATAAATGGGATGCTCCAGAAAAAAAATCAGCTTACTGTATGACTCATAGTGAAAGGAAAAAATTGCTATAAAACACTTCTTAAATGATACTTTATACTGCAAGGACATCTTACATGATTCATCTTTAATTAACTCACCAAAGATTGGCGAAAATATACCTTTAGACAAGTCTAGTAATGTTGAGCACATGTTCTTCTAAACGTTCTACGTATACGGGGAAGCCCATGCTCTCCGGACCTTGGTCTTCCTCATTCTTTACAAACTTTTTGTTTATTAAAATACCTTGGTTACTAGCAGAGTCATGGACAAAACTAAGGACAAGAACAAACCTACGACGTTCTGTGAATAATGACATTATCATCAAAATGTAGAATCCATGTATTTTGGACAAATTTTTAACAGGACAGGACAAAATTTTAACAGAAACATTGGCAGTATTCTGTTTTTCATATCTATTTAAAATAATGTAGGTATCTTCTTTATATTTAAGTCCCATTATTATTATTATCATGTTATTTATATAGCGCCAACAAATTCCGCAGCGCTTTACATCAGTGCACGCCTTCTGATTAGAGAAATGATTTTCAGTGTACATTTTTGTTTGCTAACCTGTATAGCTGTGCATGATGCCAAAGCCATGGTTTATGGATTTGGTATAAAAAAAAAAATTCCTAGTCCTGCTCTGAGCATAACTGCTTGAAATCACTGATCAATCTGGTAAAACACTACACTCTGGTCTAAGGAAGGGCCACTAGCTCTCTTATGAGAATTTTGAATGAACAAAGTAACTATTTTTGATGTTTCTTTGTCTTTTATTGTCCCCTTTGTATACAATACTCTGTGTTTTAGACTATGCCTCTAGATATGGTGCATTGCCATTTAACAGTAATACTGTAAAAAGTTTCGGATCAGTTAACCTTTGCATTTCATTTGCACAGCTGTGTTTGATGTGTTGTGACATATGACAGGTGGTGGTTAAAAAAACACACCGTTTCATAATACAAAAGAAAAGTGGGATAGTTGGCAACACCTAGATTTACTACATACGCATGGACTTGACCAGATGTAAAATGATGTGTTGCTTTTTCAACTCCATTGTGCACAGAAGTGGTATGGCCACTTCTCCATCTTTGCAATTTTATTGTAGCTTTCCCTTTAAGAAGCCTCTGCCTAAAACTTATTTTAGAGCACCTATACAGACCAAAGACAGCAACTGAAGTGCATCAGTTAATTGAAATTAAGATAAAATAAATACATATAGTGACTGTGTGTTATATAAACTCCTCTATGCATTACCACACTTCTACCAAACTTTTATTCGGTTTAACAATGACGTAAAGGTTTCTAATAAGGCAAAAAATGGAAAGAGGTCCAGGCATTTCAGGATTTAAAGAAGGCAATTTACTAAACCCAACGCCAATCACAACATTTCGACCTGAGCGGTCTTTGTCAAGCTTGTGACAACTTTGTGATTGACAGTGGGTTTAATAAATTGCCTTCTTTGAATCCTGGAGTGCCTGGACCTCTTTCTATTTTTTGCCTTATCAAGTATTTGGTTCTTCGTACTGGGACCGGCCTGGTTGCACCCAGATTCATATCATCAGGGGGATTGAGTGCAGTTCCACACCACTGTTTCTTGGTTTGTAGAGGTTCCTAATATGACAAACACTGTCGGCTTTGTTTACATGAGCCCATTATACCAAAACCATTATAATGAAAATATAATGCCCTGCTCACTTTCTTAATATCGTTTTTTTTTTCTCTTGTCTATATCCACAGGGGCCAAATAAATGGGTAGTGTCTCCCTTCCCCCAGTAGACCCCCTTAAAGTTTATAAATACCTCCTCTCTCACTACTGACTGAGGATTTTTTTTTATTTTATGACTTGCTAAAGATCTTTTTTTTTTTTTATTCAAGGCATCCATGACACCACTGTACTGTGCAAAGTAGTTCCCTGAAAGGTCCCCTCGTGTAGCTGGGAGTGAACCCCACTAGCAGGATTTTTACAACAGGTTGCAGAGTGAGTTAAAAACCCTGTGGTAGCTCTGCAGTACTAATTTCTAGTTCAGTAAAGGCCTTGTCTAAACTAGTGTTTGCTCAAGGCAAACACACGCTGGAAACCCGGGAGGAGTTACATGTAGACTGACTATGTGGCAGGTTATATTAAATTCACAAAGTGATAAGAAAAATATGTTGTTCATGCTGGTTTGTTTTTTACATTACAAAATGCATATATTAATAAGCAATGTCAAATATCTTAATGCATATAAATAACAATTATAGGCTGTTAGACCACAACTACTATTAACTGTAAAACTGTGAATTGACAGCACAGCTCAGTTAAAGATCAAATTGCAGCTGGTGCAAGGACAAACGGATCGACAGCAATCCCTCCTGTGAATCCAGTATCAACAGTATTTAGAAAAAAAGAGTAAAATTTAATTAATGAATGTGCCAAGAGAACAAAAATTAGTCACTTCTCTGAAAACTGCACAACTAAAAACATTGTGGTTTGACGTTTACTCCTGGATTTCAAAATGCCTGTTCAAGTGTCCTCTAGAACAAGGGTTTAAGGGTTAAGACTAGGCCCTATACAGATGAGAGGCTCTTGATTCCTTGTCTAGAAATGTTTTGTCAGCCTGTCTGTGGATTAACAACAATTGTAGGAAGTTTAAAGGTAAGCATATTTTCTTAAAGGACCACTCTAGGCACCCAGACCACTTCAGCTTAATGAAGTGGTCTGGGTGCCAGGTCCTTCTAGGGTTAACCCATTTTTTCATAATTATAGCAGTTTCAGAGAAACTGCTATAATTATGAATGGGTTAAGCCTTCCCCCTAATCCTCTAGTGGCTGTCTCATTGACAGCCACTAGAGGCGCTTGCGTGCTTCTCACTGTGATTTTCACAGTGAGAGCACGCAAGCGTCCATAGGAAAGCATTGTAAATGCTTTCCTATGCGACCGGCTGAATGCGCGCGCAGCTCTTGCCGCGCGTGCGCATTCAGCCGGCGGGGCGTAACGGAGGCGGAGAGGAGGAGGAGAGATCTCCGCCCAGCGCTGGAAAAAGGTAAGTTTTACCCCTTTCCCCCTTCCAGAGCCGGGCGGGAGGGGGTCCCTGAGGGTGGGGGCACCCTCAGGGCACTATAGTGCCAGGAAAACGAGTATGTTTTCCTGGCACTATAGTGGTCCTTTAATTTATTTCTATATTTTTTGTAGAGAACACAATCTAAATAATCTAAAATCTTAAAGAGACACAATAGTCCCCAGAACAATGACAGTTGTTTTGCTGTATCTATTATGCCCCTGCATGCATTTTGGTGTAAACACTGCCTGTTCACATTACTGCCTAGTAACACCTCTAGTGGAAGTCAGTCAGACTAGATGTGCTTCCTGGGTCAGTGCTGCGCACTGTGCATCACTGACATTCAGAGTCTCTACGCTCAATATGGAGGCACTGAATGCTCCCCATAGAGAGGCATTGATTCAATGAATCTCTACGAGGAGATTTTAAAAGGCACAGCGCTGCG